ATATTACCTTACAGAAATTTCCAGTCTTCCATAAATTCTTATGCGAGACAAAAGTCTTTTTTTTTCCCTCCAAGTGCTTACAACAGTCTCTCATCCTAGAAAACAATTTCATTAAAGTCTCAAAGTATTGAGAGCCTATAGAACTTCTCCATTTACTATCATTCCTATCAATCAGTGGTTTTAAACTATGAAAGAAAATGCAACTACTTGAACTCATGACACAGGTACAAGTAACTGCATGTGTTGCTCATTCCCAGCTTTAGAAAACGGAAAATCCAGACCTCTGAGATGGCTGAGAAATTTGCCACTGGATTAAGTTGTTGAAGATTTCACTCCAGCTTCTTTTTTAAGAGCACTCAAAGGTAATTGGAGTCCAGACACAGGAACTGTGACAGAGCAGTTAGGTTTTGCTGGCAAAGACCTGTCAGCAGTTCCTGTATAAGAATCATACCACTACTTTTGCTCCTGATGTTCATAACTTGTTATCTGTGAGATTAAAACTGGGTTGTTCATAGATAAGACTGACCTGATAAATTTTAATCTGTTGGGCACACTTACAAAGGGGCATGGGGTGGGGTTTGACTTTCCTCTTTGAATGTTTAATGCAGGTAAGCATGTTTCTTGTTCATGTGGCATCATCATGTGTTCTGCTTACAGACAGAGGACCACAGGTGAGTCGTGCTCTTTCAAAATGAGCTGACAACTCAGAATGCAGACTCTCTGAAAACTCTGCCTGTATTTATTTAAGCTAGTCTAAAACTAAACTTAAACTAAACTAAATCTAGCTTACTAGGTAACCTAATTTTAAGTAAACTTACTTACTTTTTAAGCAAGCTTACCCAAGTATGAAGCTGATGTGTAGGAAAGATCAGTCTAAAGGGTCAGTAGTTGTAAGACTGATTTAACTTTATTCTATGGGGAGGCACAATGAGGAAATAAATTTCTTTTGAAAAGGTGGTCTTTAGCTCAAAATCTAATGCATGACGGAGGAAGAAAGGCAGGGCAATAAAACGGGCTGAAAGAAGAATTCAGTGGCTTTAAGTCCAGTTGCAGTGAGCTAAATCTTCAGGCAGAATAAACCTTGCTATTGCAGGCAAGATGCAGGTGGCAATCTATCGAACACAGAATCCTGATGCTTCTTGTACTCAAATTTGACACACACACAGGCACCTTGCCCACAGCAATCACTAACGAGCACTTTCAAAGTACGACTTAGAGCTTGATTAGCAACTTCTGATTGTTGCAGCAGGTATGCAGGTGGTGATTTGGTGGCACAGGAGAATGTTTAGGGATGATTCACCACCACCTCACTAAAAATAAGTGCAGTATTTAAAGCAGGAGGAGAGGCTTGAAACGGTTAAGTGCTACAGGTGCAGCTTTTCAGCATACAGGCATTTGCAAATTGAAAATAAAAAGCTCAGTTTGTGACATGGACTTGGGCAATCACAAATGGACACTTCTTCAACCTTACTGTAATAACACAAACATGTTGTTGCACCTATCCTGTATGCAACGTGTAATTCTATAAGAACAAATACAGGGCTGTAGTTATGGAACATGTTTATATGTAATATTTCATGTTTAGGATAAAAGCCAAAATTTTATATTCTGTGATGTCTTGATTCATTTCATGAAGCTGGTTTTCTTAAGGGTGGCCATATTTCTCCTTGTATGGCTTTTGATTCCCACACAGGTCTAGGTCTTCTCCATAGATGAAGACATTCCTTGGTGTACTGTTATTGTATAGCAACATGGTCTCTGACTTCTGACAATGAAGACATTCTACACCTACATCAGCAAAGAACTGAGCTCACCTTCTATTTGATGACCGTTGGTTTCTGTAACTATAAATCTGGTATGAAAGTCAAAGCATTTTTAACTTTTAGAGCTGATGTAAAAATTCTGTGCTGTTGTACAAATCAGCTGAAATTGGTTCAGACAGTGCTGTATACCACTTGTCATTACTTATTTCATTAGAAATTTGTACATCCAAGGGCATTTCTATGGAGAACTGTGAACACTCAAACCTGACTCATTTTCTGTCACATATATATATGTCACATATGAAACCCCTATATATTCAGAAGCACTTCACTGTCTGCTTTGGAAGGCCAAATCATTCTCTTTCTTTCAATGCTTTCAGCAACACAAAGTCTCTGAGCGCCCTGCCTCAGGTAGTCTGTCCAGATGAACTAGACAAACCCCTGTTTTTGCCTAACGTGGTTGTAAGTTAGGGCAAGTTGTGGCAGAGCTAAATGCAGCTAGTCCCTCCTGTATTCACGTCTCACAGCTGTACCAAGGTCCCACTGACAGTGGCTACAACTGGGACACGTCTCTCTCGTGGTTGCTCTCTAGCGCTGGATTCCCCATGTAGCTAAGAACCTGCAAAATGTTACAGTGCTGCCAGTGATTTCTGGACTCGTAAGACAATTACTTTCAGCCCTGTTCCAGAGAGGAACAGGGCTTGTCCTGCTTGGCACCAGTGTCGTACAGTGGTATTATGTCCAAACGTGTGGACTGTTAGACAAAAATTTTAGCAAGGATTTTCCTAAACTCACTGCACAGCATCAGGTTCCAAAGTTTACTTACTGAAATTTGAAATACTAAAGATCACTGTAAATCATTCAGCAAACAAGGAAGTTATTTTTCTCCGTATCTTTCATATCTTATCCTTCATATCTTCAGTAGGATGGCTGCAATCCTGACCCATTCTAATCATTCTAGATAGCCTATCAGACTTTGAAATACTGTTTGGCTGAAGTAGTTTTTTAGCTATACACTTATACATGACTGAGTACCTAAAAAGATTTCCGTTTTTTTAAGGTTTAATTTTTTTCTACAAATAACTCTTTTAAGGAAAAAATATGTGTAACTTTTTTTTTTGTTCCTGGCATGCACTGAATCTAGGACTGATATTATGTTCTCCTTCGAATGTCCACCTTTAGCAACCCATAATGAATATTTAATAAAAGTAGTTTTAACTTCTTCACAAAAAATTAGGTTTAACAGCCTTCAAAAAGGACTTTTATGGTGGTGTTGCATTTTGAAATGAGAGTTAATATAGAAATATATATATTAAAGAGAAAGCTTGTCAAAGACCGAAGATCCATGAGTGAAAAAAATGAGCTGTTAGACCCTACATTCAAACCGTTCAGTCATATAAAGAAAAAGAATTATACCCTTCAGCAGAAAAGGAAAGAAGGCAAGCAAAATTACAAGATGGCTAAGTAGAAAAACTCAACAGAACACTTAAGTTGTCTCTTAGAAACAGAATATTCAACCACTTGTAGCCAACAGAAAAACAACTTTGTAAATTTAAACAGTACTTGGTCAAAGACATAAAAAAGCGTAAGTAGTTAACCATAACCACCCTTAATGTACGTGTTTGAAAGCATCCAAAGGTTTGTTAAACTACAGGGTACATATGAAAAAAAAAAAAAAAAAGAGTGAAGCAAAACTGTATGTTAGTCTTTTTCTGAAAGGATGTTGGCGTAATAGTTAATTTCTCCATATAATAGACTTGTAGGATCGAAAGTGAGAATGATATAAAAGTTGAAGGGACTTAAAAGTAAAGAGGCTGAAATAATAATAAAAATAGCTACTTTCTCCTTAGCTCCTGTGCCAGGCAACAGCAGGAAACACAGGACTTATCATCATCCTAACCCACCAGTACCTGTCGCTCTGTAAAGAAGGCCTGACCATGAGGCTAAGGCTGTCTTGCAGACTGTACAGTCCCTGCGGTTGATGGGCACTGCAGTTGCACACTCATGATAAAAAGGAGCACGTGGTCTCTGAAGACTGCAGGGCCTGTCTTCCAGCTCATCTAACTGGGCTGCTAAACTGTTCTGTTCACCTCCTCACCCCCCTTAGAGTCTGGGCCTGAGACACAGGTATGTTCCCAGCGGCTTAGAGATGGCAGATCCAATAAAAATTCTTCCTCGCTGAGCTCCTGTGTTGTGTGTTGTCCTCGTAACTCTGTTGGTCTGTGTGTGAGGGGTGCCCAAAGAAGAGGCAATAGCTCACCCTTTACTGGAGAGCAGTTGCATCTTAACTGATGTTATTTTTCCTGGAATACTGTATGTTGAAAGAGAGTGTCCCAGGGTAAACCATTATCCTGTATTATAAAACTCCAAAAGGCTTCAGTTTGGTGTTAACGGAAGTGACAAGCACTTGGAGAAGTCATTTAATCATCTAAGCAAAGTTACAAATAGATATGAGTAAATAGGGTGTGTGGGAGTAAAGATTTAAGCATGAATAATATTTACAGTAACTAAAGATAACATTACTAATGTACCCACAAATAGAAGTATATATTTATATATTTATATATCGTACTTAATTAGATGCTCTATTAACGGAAAGAAAAACAGACTATTACTGTTGTTGTTCATTTCTCACCTATCTTATTGTAAATGCCTTCAAAGGGACCAACTGGTGTATGGCAATCCAGAGCTAAATCTGTTTCAGTAACTGACAGTGGCAAACCTCTGAAGAAGTTTAGAAGAGGACAGATAAAAACATTAGGGCATTAGGGCACGGGACTCAATCTTGTGAAATTCATAAACCAAAATTATAGATCTGTTTCTTTTTTTTTCTTTCTTCTTTTTTTCCCTTTTGATTTCTACTTGGACAGAGGTTCCACTTAGCCACAAATGAGAAATAGCAAAATTTAGATTGTTTTGTTTTCTTCTAAAGATTCAAATATAAACTTCAAGTGCAATTCAAAATCCAAGTATTATTTATACTACATACTTCTTTCTACAACAGAACTTGCAGGTAGCTTAATCAGATTTGAATAAATTCCTTCTTTGCTTTGACCAAAGCTATTGTTGATGAAAAATAAAAAGCTAGAAAGAATATTTCCTACATAATGTAATTTCAAATGGAAAGTGAAGATACACTAGTGCAGACACAAATTTGGATGTTCAACTAGATACACTCAAGGATGCACAATTTTTTTTTTGTAGTAAAAATCCCACTCAGAACATTGGCTTTTAACGATTATAAAACATTATAGGTATTCTTCAATATACAATTGAAAACATAGACTGCAAAAAAGAGCCTTCAAATTAGAAAATGTTTCTACTATGGAGAAAAGACAATATTTGACAGGAATGCAAAGTAACCAAAAATTGAATACCAGTAGACTATTTGTATGGTCGTAGAAATCTGGAAACTTTTGATCGTAGTAGTTTTATAAATGATCTGGGAAACATCTCTTTTGACTCTTGTGCTGTGTACTTGAAATAGTTTTGTGGGTGTGCCAGAACATCAAAGAGAGCTTTAATCAGTTTCTTGTCCTATGGAAGACAACACATACATTAGGTAAAAATAGGGTTTGGATTTAGTGTCTGCACAGCTTTCGAAATTAATGAACAACAACTAGGGTTTTTTTGCAAAACTTGCTTCTGGGTAAAGCACTGTAAGAAAACTACTGTACTTCCAAACTGTACATTCACAGGCTGAATTTTGCCTTCTGAACAGCCCTTTTTCAGTTTTAATTGGTTAGTTGTTATAGGTGGCAGCTCAGCAGCCTTCCTCCACAATTGTCTCCAATGCGTTGCTTGTTTCTTTGAAAAACCATTTCATGGACAGCTTACAATGCGACATTATGGTTGAGTCTTGTTGAGGCAGGACAGTGATTTAGGTAAACACATTTTTTTAATGCACAGGAAATTCTAACTTAATGACTCATTTAAACACATGCCAGACTGAGGCTGCAGAAGGCTCTTTAAACAATAAGTTCTTCATTCTTCATTGACTGATTTTTCTAATGTACAATCATGTTAGCATACATTGAATTTAGTTCCTGATTCAGCAAAGGATATACGCACATGCTCAGCCCAGCTGAGCTACTGATTTTGTGCTGCGCCAAATACCAGCATAAACCTCAGAAGACAGAGAATTTAATTTGGGGTCATACTTGAGGTTTAAATGTTATGACCCTATCAGGGTAATGAGAACTTTCTGGGGAAAATATTTAGAAAAAGGAATTCTTGGTTAGCCTCAGATAAAGCAGAATTTTCTTACCTTTAGAATTTCTTGATGATTTTCTGATGCATATAATCGACCATCTCGAACAATGTCTTCTATTAGTTGTTGGTAGTCCTCTGAAAAATAAAGATCAGTTGAGTGACTGTTTGTGACATCCTTTGGGAGGTTAATAGCCAGACATTAGCGAGATTGTTCAGTGTCTCTCAAGCTGCTGTAGTCTAATCTAATCACATTAAAATTCTGTACTGCTTTAGAACGGTAATTTTGAATTAACCATATGAATACTAACTTAGCCCCAGAAAACTAATCCCTCCAGATAGCAATGGTTTATTGTCTGCATTTTAGAGATGAAGAAACAGGACCAGGGATATGAAACAACTGTCAAAGGTTATACGTGAAGGCAGCAGCACAGTCAGGAACAGATCCTTGTTTTCTGCCCTGAGAACAGCTCTCATTTTGATTCCTGAATGACCAGCTTAATACAGATTTTTTCATCATTCACAAAATTGCACTAGTGTTTGGAAAAGAGCTGGACTAACAGCTGCCAAAGGTATCACAGAAAAGTCTTTGTTTCATCAAAACAGAAATCATCCCAAAGTACAAAACATACATTTTAATGCATAATTTATATTACAAGCCAGACTTTTAAAATGCAGATTTATGAAAGTGATTGCTGAAAGGATATTTCTTTTTGCATCATTGTTTTTCTCTGTTGGACTTGTGATTTTATTAATTTATAGTTTTCAAAATTGTGTGGGTTACCAGTAGGACTTGATGAAGGGGCTTTCTAAAAATGCACAGCAATTAATGGTATTGTCATTATGCATATGATAAATGCCAATTAAAAGGAGTCTCGTTGAATTCAGTGGGATAAGGATTCAGTTTAAAGAATTCTGTGTAACTTGCTGTCCATCTTCAAAGTATTAGAAAAATTAAAAAAAAAATAATTAGGTATTATTTCAAAATCTTTGCAACTGGTTTTAAAGTAATTCACTGGACTAAAACTGGGTTACATCAAGTTTTCCCTCATTCTTCTCTTGCTGTAACCAGTGGAAGAGAGAGTCTAAAGGACAGTTTTCTGTAATTCACATATAACATAAAGATGGAAAGCAATCCCATTCTCACCATCGTAAGTCACATAGGGGACCTGAAATCCTTTGCCACTGTTTCCTTCATTTGACTTGAACTGAATCCAGAGCTTCCTTGATCTTGAGGTAAATGCAATGGGTCTCTCGTAAGTCTGACATGTTTCATATGTAGTAATTGAAGTAGGAGAAGCTAGAAATAAAAAAATATTAAAAAAAAATATTAAACTAATAGTCTCCTTCTCTGGAGATTTTCAAAACCTGCCTGGATGCAGTCCTGAGTAATGTGCTCTGGGCAATCCTGCTTTAGCAGGGGAGTTGGACTGGATGATCTCTAGAGGTCCCTTCCAACTCTGAAAATCCTGTGATTCTGTGATAATTAAATTAAATTAAATTAAGAAATATTCTTTATAAAATAACTTTTTGCACCCTTCCTGATCTAGAGGTCAGAAATGATGAACTGACAGGACGCTTCTCAGCTGACGTATACCTGAGAGCAGATTTTTTTTGTGATAGAAGAATGTAGTCTTTATCTGTTTATAAGAAGTAAGTTTTTCCACAAAGGCAGTGAGAACCCCTCTGTCCCACAGCAAGAAGCTTAAGTAGACAGCGAGGTGCCAGAGATAATTTTTGACATTTATAAAATTACTATCAATATTACTTATTTTGTGTACTACTCTAGCATTGAATTCCAAGGTTCCCATATAGACTGGGCCCAGATAGGTAAGAAAAGTCAGCTGCACCCCAGGCAGGTGTGGTAACCAGCTCCTTACACGCCTGGTTTGGGGAGTTCATCTGAGAGCAATAAACCACTTTTCAGAATGTAATAGCCTGGTGTACTGATTCTGACTGAACCAGCATTGCACACTGAGGAGTTAGGGATCCACCGAACAGTTAACCTGGGTATGGTCAGGCCTGTGCCGTGCTGCGCATCCAGCATGGCCTTCAGGCCCCTGTTGTGCTGCACAAATCCCATGGGTGCAGGATAACCTCAGCCAGATCGTTCTAATGAGAGGAACTTGCAGGCAGCTTCCACTTGGTACCGGTGATTATGCTACGGCGTGGCCTTGCCTTTATCTAAAAGTGCAGCAAGACGTGCTCATGAGAACATTGTTTCTGTTTGACAGTAGAAATGATAAATAGAGTTGTTTCCTTGTAAGAAAATCCTACAATAGCTCGAATGACTGAACGGGCAAAATCTCTTCTACGTATAGGGTCTGCCCAGCACGCAGCGTGTGGATCAGAGGCCTGTTCAATGCTCCACTGCCTATCGTTCCCACTATCTAAAAGGATGTAAGATTATCTATACTATTCTCTCCTTATAATGATTGCTCTAATAAATAGCATTCAAAATGATACCTTACAGAGGCTAAGTGCCTTTCTTACTGGAACCGTAATGGAGCAGCATCTCCCAGTGCAAAACACCTGGTTGTAGGTTTGAAAAGAAAATGTCATTTATCTATATTGAAAGAGAACTAATAGCTGAGAACCAGAAAGACCCCATTTGCCCCTAACATAAGCAACAGATGGAGGGTGCAGGATGTCCTCAAATTGTTATGAATGTATCGTGAGGCTCCTCTAAGTTAAAATGAAATTTCAAACAAAAGAAAAAAATACCTTCTTACCTAGTTCAAAAAAACCACACTCCATAGCCACAGGATAATTTGGGAAAATAAGAAGTATAACCTAAAATCTGAACTTGGTAGGGCTGATTCAATTTTCGCTAATGTTAGCAAAAAAAGACCTTTTGAATTGGATGGGATTTGGATTCTTGAAGTACAAAAAAGTGGATCTAACTAACTCTGGAACTGCCATCAGTTTTTCCACAGCAGTGTTAGCAGCTGACCTTATCTGAACTATGATAAATATTCCTAAGATCAACTGTTATGGTGCCAAACATACAGTGATCACAAAGTGCGACTCTGAAAAACTCCCCTCATTTTCCAGTGTTGTTGTTTTGGTACTGTTATTGGTACTGAAGTGGAAGTCAAACTTTTCCCCAATGTGCCTCGCTTTACTCACCGTTGGAACCACAGTTTGGGATTAGAAGGACAACTGATTTTTTTTTGCTACAGTAAATGTTTTGCTTTTAAAATACTGATGTGGACAGATATAATTTCCTTCCATCTATAGTGACCAGGTTTATTCTTGTACTAATCTGACATATAGAGCTGTCAACACAAGCCCTCAAGGATAAAAAGTTTTGAAAATTGTTTTAGCAAATAAAATGCACTGTTTTAGCAAGTAAAATATGCTGTCTTAAGCAAACCTCCATATAAACAATTGCCTTTCGGGTTTGGTGCTCCTTGGAGATTTAGCAACAGATCACCAGAAGCTGGATACTGACATAGGAGTGTAGAAGGAGCGCATCTCATTGGTGTTTTAACGTCAGAAGTTGTTGAATTAACTTCATAATCAAAGACACCACACAACACCCACTGCACATAAAATTGGGAAAACTCTGGATTTCTTGAGGCAGTCAGGAGTAGCAACCTGTGCCACTGCACAAATTTAGCAATAACCGCAGCACGTATATATTTGCAAAGGATAAGTGACAGCACAATTTGTACCGATGATGGGAGATAGCTCTCCCAATGTAACTTAGCATAGCTTTGTTGACTTCTAGAGTGGCAGTGATTTATCCCACATGATAACTGGGCCAGACAGAAGACACCTGAATAATTAATATCACTCTGTTAATTGTTATTGGTACAGTGTTCTGTTTTAACTTGCTGTGTCAGTTCATTCAACAATCCCTTTAGAAACACCGGATAGATGAAGACAGTTGTCCCTTCAATATGAACTTTCCACTCAGTCAGTTTGCAATAAATATTTATATAACCCAGGTCTGGCAACTTACCACTTTTTCTCATTACTAACACATCACCACATTCATCTTCAATTGGGAGAAATATCTCAGGTACTACGATGAGTATTCTCCTCTTTGGGGGTGGATTTATATTCCAAATGCATTCAACATTAGCTGGGTAGTCTCCAGGATAGTTGGGCGACTCAATGTAGCCAGTATAATCCCCAAGTTCTCCTCCACAATGCTGGTCTGTGGAGAAACATAAATTAGCATTTGTGTTAGCCAATTAGCTAATTTGAAGTGTTTTTCTAGATCTGTCAAGAGCAAGTCTAAACTCCTCCTTGTGGCTTTAGAAATGCATCCATTCTCCAGCTGCCTCTTTGTTTAGCATGGAAAGCCTTTAAAGGAATACTTGATCTGCAGGGCTGCTCCAACTGATTTGCAAAACCTTAATCTCTGGTGTATAAACTGGTTCAACGCTTCATCCAGGCTGCTTTGACATTTGATTAAGAAACAAACACAGGTAAGTAAACGTGATCCCGTTGTGGAGGTACTCTCACAGTGCTTACCACTGAGACCATGCTGACATGCACGAGGTATTCTGGTTTGATTTTTAACCTGATTTAGCTGAATGAGTGTGATGATCCTAATAGCCAACCTTATCTTGATCACAGATCTGCCTTGCTTTAGCTTAGATTAAACTAGTTAATAAAGAATCTCCAATGATGGATCTGTTTGACTTTCTGAATTTTCAAAACTCCTGTGGAATTTGCCACAGAAGCCTGAGTCAGTAAGTTACGTAAGCTTGATCTCTCCAGGCCTACTCACCCACATAAAATTAGATATATATAAATATTTTCCTTAATTCAAGCCGTCAAATTCCTTACAAATATCTAATTTACTCAAATTACATTAGAAACAACGAAGGGCTTCAATGACACATGGCACATAGTCAGAATAAAACCTTAAGATAGACTTGCACATGAATAGTTAGTTTAGATTACATTACCTAATTATTATACAGACATTCTCTTAAATTAGCATAGTAGAGATGAAAAAATTGCTTGCCTAAAAGAATCAGTCATTCACAAAAGATCAAATGAAATTGCACTGGAATCCTTGGGGATATTTAAAATGGCAGTTGAAGACAGGAGGCCGAGTACTGCAAAAAAAGCCTATGAGAAGATTTCACTGCACAACCATATCTCCCAGTACTTTATAATTATTATAAAATGGCAGTTACTCTGATAGAAGATACGTAGAAGAAGATATGTAGAAGAATAGTGGGTACTTTGTTCCACAGAGACACGGAGGAATATGCATCACTGCAAGACAACTTACAGCATTTGGGAAACCAAAAGCTCCATAGTTTGACACAAAGCTGTCACTCTGCCAGATTACGTTAAAGCCAAAGCAATCACACACATCAAGTTGGACTTTTCCTGGTTTTTTTTCCTCATTGTTTTCCCAATTTTTACTATTCCCTCTGGCAGTAGATATATGCTAACTAGGAAATACAGAACTGAAGTCCAGCCTGACAGATGGAAGCTTCAAGTTGCAGTTCAGATCCAAAGATATGCTTCATCTCACAACTAATATAAACGCAACTTACTTTTGCAGTGTGTAACATTAGTGGAGCCATCAAAATCTGTACTTGTGTTCCCAGGGCAGGTGATGCAATAGTTTTGACCAAACTCAGGCTGGTATGTTCCCACAGGGCATCGGATACACCTGTGTGTTGTGGAGTTGTAGTAGTGTCCAGGAGAACAATGAACTGTAAGGTACGAGGCGTATTATTTTCAGACAGCAGCAATCTTCAGTGCAGAGAGAACTTACCTCTACCCTGGTATCCTGGTTTGAGGACATACCTCGTGATCCCCATTCTACAATATACTTATTAGGCCATAAAAGGCAAAAAAAGACACCAGCTCCCAGTATTTCCCATTGCAAAGGACCTTCTAACTAGAATTATGTTCCAAAGACTAGCGCTAAATCCTTACAAACTAGTAACACGTACTACGTGTCTCTCACTGTATTTAATACAGCGGTTTCCAATGCGTTTGTAATAAATGGAAGCTGATACATATCTGCCTCAACAACAAAAATGCCTTTCACAATAGCCAGAGAGATGTTTCCATTAGTGTCTGTTTGCCAGGGCCAGCATGTCATTCCAGTAACTAAACCAAAATGCATTTGGGCAGATTCCTTCTTCCGCATTTGCTCTGGAAGTTGATTTTATGGAACACACATCGTGTTTCACGCTTACAGTTTCTGCCTAGCCCATTAATAATCAATCCTTAACTTCGTATAATTTCTGTAGCGTTTACTTTTTCTAATTTGGTAAAGAAAAATATACAGGACGTGAAGGCTAAAGCATTGTCTCATGCAAGTTTGTCTTATTCATTGCCATGCAGTGGGGCTGATTCACTTACCAGTTGCAGCGCTGACTCTCTACCTGCCTGTGGTAAATTCCAAAGCAAACCATAAAGCCTGTTCAATCTCCCTGACCAGGAAATCATTTCTAGTTTAGAGATTTTCTGACCATTTAATTTAATCACACACCCTGTTTCTACCCACAGTGACTGTGTTTGTTTTGGAGCTTTTGAAAGCCCTTTGGCATTGAAGCTTACAAACTAAAGGGCAAGCAGCAGGGATATGAATTGTGGAAAGATTTGAAATTCACCTTTGGTTTCGCAGTCTTGAAAGGAAACAGCACCTTCATACTTGGTGACAAGCCCACCACCACATGGAAAGCAGAGGGTCCTCCCTGGTTCAGGCTGGTACGTACCAAGAGGACAGACTCTACACGGTTTAAAACCATCTGAAGAATAGTGTCCAGGAGAACACTGCCCTAGAAATTGAAAATTATCATTTGTACCAGTGAGCCGACTTTTCTGGACAAATTATAAAATCCACTAGTAGTTAACAATGCTTCCTTTAACTTAAACACATCAAGACAGCTGCAGATCAAATTCTAATCTTACCTGCTGATTTTGTATTGTTCCTGTAGCTCCTTCCTAAAAACAACAGCAGTAAATGCAACTAGTTTCTTAATAAGCAACTTGCTACCTATGTTTGGTTTTTTGTTGTTGGTTTTTTTTTAGCAAGAGCTCTATCAAGATGTTGTTTGAATACTTTGTACTTTCACCAATTCTTTAATCTGAGAATTTCAAAGCACTTTGTAGGAAAAAAATGAAGCTTTTTATCATATCTATGAAGCAAGCAATTGTTTATATTTTTTTTACATTTCCATTTCATAGATAGGGAAACAGTAGATCATGGGATTTAGCAGACTGGGTGGGACCAGTCCAGCACCCTGCCTATGAGAATAGCTGACACCAGCAGCTTTCCAGGTAGCTGTGAAAACTAGTGCTTGTCAGAAGTTCTGCAGAAAACGGCGATTTGTGTAAACCAAAGCACTTTGCGAATAAGTCTACTGACAGATACAAGGTAGTTTCAAAACTTGCTCTCCAAGCAGTTTCTGATAGGCGTTTGTTTGGCTTGGTTCTTGCTAGCTTGAGTATTTTACTCCTTGACAACCTCCCTGAGAGGTTGTCAAGTTTGTCATGATTATTGCATTAATGCCTATCTTCACACCACCCCGGCCCAGGAGAGCAGCACAGTGAGATGTCATGTGTTCCCTGAGGTTGCCTAATCCCAATACTTCATAATTTAGCTTCCCTGAGAACTGAACACTAGGCAGAAACAACTGGCTTGCGAACCTGAAACTTTTGAGAGCTCCAGGTGGGGTCGGGGTCTTTTAAGAACCTGATACTTGCTGGGAAATGTTGGGGGCTTCCATTACCTTGGGTCTCTGTCACTTAGGATGAACTAGAGCTCCTTTTTGACAAAAGCCAAACTCCTATGGACACCTGTGGGATCAGGATCTCTGGGATTTAGTTGTGCTCCCATCCCAGCTAGCTTGAATATGACTGTACAAGCTGGCTGCTGTGACACAGACCTCTGGTCACTGGACTTTAATAGGAAGGCAGTTAATGAAGAGTGGATTTGGATCTGGATTTTAGTGTGAAAATTAAGTACTTGTGAAGCATGTCTTACAGACATCCTTTTAAAGAAGCAGTATTGTTAGGTTTTAATACTGTTGTCCTGGTTTGCACTTTTTAGAAGACTGTAGTGTCTGAATTTGTGAAAATATTTACTTCATAGCCAGCTATGGTGTGTGGGTTTCAAGGTCTCAGTGTTTTCAAGATAGCCAGGTGCAGGGATGAGGAGGAGCGAGACCCGGGCACTTGACCCAAGCTGGCCAACAGGATTATTTCATACCACGAACATCACGTTCACTATAAATTAGAAAGTTTGCTGCAAAGTTTGCTCTCTCCCTTGATGGCTGCCATCCTGAGAACTTCTTGACCTGGTGCCTGACCCCTGAGGCCTTCCCTTCCTCCTGAAGCCGTAGCGCTCGCAGTGTCTGACATTTGCTGTCCGCTGTTGGGAGTGCACGACTTCCTACTGGTATAATTGCCTGAGTATAATCCTTGCATGTTCTGTATTGGTATCGGGATCAATACTGGTTTTCTAGTGCTATTAATGTTAATTATTTAGTCTTATTCTATTAAATCTGTTTATATTTCAACCCCTGGGTTTCCTTGGTTTTTTCCCAATTCCCCTTCCATGGTGGGGAGGGGTCATCAGGTGATAGAATGATTGTCTAAACAACAATAACTTGTTATGGGTTTCTCAAACCATAACAACTGCTAAATACCAAATGCTTTCAGCACTAATGTGTCTCAGTCCTTACCTGTAAATAAGAATGAGCTAACTTGCTCCTTTCTTGCCTTCTGTTTTGAAGTTGCCAACCAAATTGATCTGAGGAGATTTCCCTGAGAAATGCCCCAAATGACTGGGTTTCTTAATTATGTTCTGGCGTTGTGCCTACATGGATCGCATGTTACTTAAATATCACAGCATCTTACTCGCAGCTACAACATAGAGCTCTACATGATAGGCACTTAAAATCTCTTACGTACTTGTATGTGCCTCACCTGTAGGGGTGAGGATTTCGGCCATAGTTTTTTTGTTACTACAGAGGCATTGCTGCTCCAGAAGATATGATGCAAAAATACTATTGATTACAGGTGGTGAGTACATTTCTAACAAAATCTGTGTTCATCAAAATACACTGCTTCATCACACATGCTGACACATTTTATGGAGACATACTGATTTTGATAAAATCTTTGACAGGGAGGTTTATGAAATCCAAAGCATATTCCCTCTTGCCACTTTCAGAGAAAGAGAAAAGGGGAGAGTTGAGCAGAAAAACAGACTGTTGTGATCTGACAACAAACATTTTGAGACAGATCCACTGTGCAAAAATAATGAGAAGGGGCTGCTTCTTGTTGTTGTGCAGAACAATAATTCAAATGCAAGCCTTGAAACAAAAGTATTTTTCCTCCAGTTGTTGTGCTGCTGTCAGTACACTGTATTCAACCTTATTAAACTCAGATTTTAATTTGATTATCTATTCTTGTTGGATTTTGGCTAAATACAAGTCAACAAAACAAAGATGCGCAAACATTTCAAGAATTTTTCTGTAATAGTTCCTTCATACATAAGTCAGGAAAATCTACCATATGTTTGGACCGGAGACACCAGAGTTATTTTTTTATTCACTGAATGGGGAAAAGCAGCAGTTTCTCATTGTGTATTCACTCTAGATATCCTTGAAGAAAGCATTAATGTAAATTACATGGATGAGTTAGAACTTGTTCAGCAGAAGGACAGACTTCTTTCGAAGTCAAAAAATGTATCTGCTATAAACTAGATTTTGCTCATCTGTAATGAAATAAGGTAAAGAAAATAATTAACTGTTGTGTCTTAAAACCTTATCTTGATCAATGTACAGTAGCAGCATTAACAAACTGAACTTCACAGCTCCCTTCTGAAACCAGGTATTCTCCTTATTATCATCTAATTTATATATCACGAAGTTGAGTCAGAGACGCTACAGTGAATTCAAGCAGCGTTGAAACTTGTAGTCATTAGCTCTGAGTCCAGGTTACAGATTCCTGCAGCATAACTATCTCAAAATTATGATGACTGCCGATTAGACCAGGTAAACCGCATCTCATGCAAAACATTAAATCAGCAGGTTCATTAGACTCACCAATACCAGTCCAAAGTAATCCATCCCTTTGGCTCACAATATACCTGACGAGTCCTTACAAGTCGAGGTATGTCCAGATTCCATACCTGACTTGAAGCAAAGCGCTTTGCTTGGCTTGCTCATTTCCATACCATAACTCACATTGCTGCAGCAGGTCCCATCTTCTTGTTGGCAATGTCAGTGGATGGAACAAGCCAAAACATTTTGTGTATTGCTTGTAAATGCACAGACATTTCTTCTGTTACCTTTACAAGACAGAAGTGTGGAAGGCTCTCCCCTCTTTTAACTTCATGCCTCACAGGCTGTGTGGCAACACCTAATCCTTTTATAATCAAATTAAACTTGCCTCCACATTCTGACACATTCCGGGCGCCCGCTACTCCCTGTCCATCGTTACTTGGGCAAGGCTCACAGGTAAGTTGACCTTCTGTGTCTTGGTATGTTCCTGGTGAGCAAGGAACGCACTGATTATGTTCTCCGCTATAAAAGGTGCCCGTGCTGCAGGTAACTGAGAAAAGAAAAGGGGAATCTACATAAGGACTTTCATTTTGATCACATCATTTGCCTTTATATCAAACATTTAGAGAAGATGGATCTCTTTGGCCCCAGTGTTAGAGTGGCATATGTTTTACATACATTAGTCCAGAATCCTCACCTGATGTAAACAGGCCCATCTCCACTGTGGTCTAGGTCAATTTACATCAGGGCAAGGTCCTCCTTCTATTGTTTAAGCCATTAAATGGCGTTGTACTGCACTGAAGCATTTATCAGACATATGTTGTTAATAAAGCTGATGCAGTCTTAAAACAGTATATTGCAGCTTAATTAAGACAGTGGTGCATAACATATGGGAAGTGATGCGAATTTTTAGTTTACACTAGGTGCATTTACGTGTCGGTTGTATGGAAGATGGCTACAAAAAGTTTGTTGCTTGAGATCAGTTCTAGAGATTTCTCTGAGGGCAATGTATCCTGTGTAATATTTTATGTTTCTTGGCACTCAATACCCCAACTGGAAAGCATTTTAAATATAGATATGAATCCACATTTTCTTGCTGCAACAAAGCACATAACTGCATTAAATATTTTTCTCTGCTGGGTATAGGTAGTCAAAATGTACGGGTTTCTAGACACTAATAGCAACAGTCTTTCAATACAGTTGCTAAATCACTGTTCCCATATGATAGAAACAGCCTCTGAACCAAGTAATTAGAGGCACCTATCGGATCTGCACTTAGCTATTTTATTTTGCTTGCAAATCACTTGGTGTCTAAAAGAAGGTGGAAAAATGGATATGCTGATTTTGAAAAGATTACTCTTAAGTGATTAGAAAGCTTGCAGTACTGAGAACTGCCATGAATAGGTTTGTGCTAGCACCTTGCCCCCAGTAAAGCACTAGAGCCTGATAAACTTGGAAAAGGCTTAAAGGAATTAGGTATTTTACATAAAGTTAAAATAGATTGCTATAGTTTGGGTTTTTTTTATTAGACCTCAGGTGTTAAATATAAATATATCCATGGGTCATGGGTCATGGATTGCTTGGTGGTGAGGAGAGTGAGAGAGTCAATATAAAACTAAATATACAGCACCTAGGCAAACACCATTTTACTGTTTTACAGAATTGTAATTATGTTTTCATACGACGCTGGGAGCAACTGGGAACTCATTGCCAACATTGCCTTGTGGCAGGTCTTGATATATACCAGCTGACAGCATGGGAATGTATACATATATATGCTGCTTTTGTTTTCTTGCAATCGTTTAATGAACTTCCTTCAACCGTCAGTGGTCCATGCACATATGCTCAGTAATACTGATCCAAATTGTCTGTTATCTCAGAGATTTCCTGCCTGGCTCACTAGGGACAACTTAATTTTGAATTGCTTGTTTTGGGGGATATGGCTGACTGGAGTTTTTGGGACTTACCGCATTTTCCATCCTGCAGCACTTGCCCTGTACTGCAAGCTTCATGCCCTTCAGTAGCTTTAGCTGGCTTCTGAGCCACTTCATATTCTGTCCCAGAAAACTGAATGTAAAATTGCTGTTTATTAATAGATTTCCTCAATGTTTTGATTGCAGTTTGCAGCTTCTGCTCCATCCTTTTCCGAACACAGTCCATGTTACAGGTGTCTAGATGGGAAATGATAAGAAAACTAGAAGCAATTGAGATTCATGTTTAAAAAGAGGTGCTTAACAAAAACCTTAGCCTGCACTGCACTATAACACCTCTGCTTCACTGTCTTCTCCTAACTGTAATTCACTGTCTTCTCCTTCTTCTAATTGCAGAAGCAGCTCACTGTATTCAAAATCAGGCCTTTTAAAGGGACAAGATAGTACACTGAGGTCCATCAAACTGAATTTCGTGGTCTGTAAGTGCATGCTGAGTACTGATATCTTATCTCAAGCATTAAGAAATCTGGTTATGCTGACTGCACAGGGAGAGGGCCACAGAAAGCATCAATCCCACTGTGTAGTACTTCCAGATATGTGTTCAGTCTGCCAGCGCTAACGTTTCTGAATTTTCTCTGCCCCTGCTTTACTCAGTTGATTAGGAATTCTTCCTACTTCCCTGACAAAAATACCCGAATGACATAAAGAAAGGTGCTTTCTGGTACAATTACTATTTGAATCACTCGGCTAGTGAGGTAACCCTCAGGGTTAAGAAACCTGCCTTTGAGGACTGACGTGTTTATAGAATTCAGCCCATGTTTTCTTTGGCTGGATTTTATAGCATAATATTCCATTTCATTAATAACTTGAAGCAATTATTTTTCTTGCTGAAGTTTGTTATGAAAACATGAATTTTCCAAATATGTGATAAAAAGGTTTGAATCTCAGACTGAAGTTTCAGCAACTTACATTTTAGAAGATTTTTTTATCATCGTTGTTGCAGAACTTCTACCTAACCCGTATGTTCTCTGTGCATCAATTAGCACTTCTGCTGTTTAAAGAAATTAAACTAAATTACTTAATTACATAAATTAGCTTGAGGCTTTGAAGGAATTTTGCTGAAGGTTCAATCTTTGTTCCTTTGCCTGAATTCCATACCTGATTTCTTTCAATTAAATCTCTGAAACTCAGAGTTCGGAAAGGCTGTTGAACGAGGCTTGTGCTAAAAGTTTTGCATGGCAGCTTGATGAAATAGCATCAAAGAGATTCTCACAACACACCGAGGAACTGAATTCTGATTTCTCTCCACAGACAGATCTTTCACAAACCTGAGACTTCTTCTGACTTCATCTCCACTTCAAACTCTGCGGTGATGTGGGACACTTCTTTTGATGGTGACTTGCGGCCTCGGCGTTTTTTCTTGGAGGAATCGCACTTGAGATTCACAAAGGTCACCTGGCAGTTGTCTGTACAAGGCAATTGACCTCCTTTGCATAAGAGAAGCAACATAGAAAAGAAATCAAGTAGCAAAGTGGCAAGTGACGGGCTAGTAAGCGATATCTCAGCTGTGTTATCATGAATGCAGTGCCAGGCTTCATAACATTTCACATGCATTGCCAAACACCTCTGTGCAATTTGGGGTTTGCTCATTTGGCTAGTGAATGCAGGAGGCAAAAATACAGTGTGGCGACACTCAGCTGCACACTGGTACCTCTAATGCCTATAATTGCCTGTCTCTCTTCTGCGCCGGATTAGAAAGCTCTTTACAGAAATGAGTTAAGATCAGCAATACTATATACAGTCATTTGATGGTTAATCAAAGCAAGAGAGTAAATTTTCAGAGTCATGACAGCGGCAGGCCCGGGCCTCTAGAAACTACCAGCTGGTATTCCAACTCTTTCAGCAATGACAATCAGCAGATATCAAACTTTTTAAAAGCCTTTGATTTGGAGGTTATGAAAATATATTTGAAGGCTTTATCTGAGGGGAAATCATAGAATCATTTAGGTTGGAAAAGACCCTTAAGATCATTGAGTCCAACTGTTAACACTACCAATTCCACCACTAAACCATGTCCCTAAACACCATGTCTAAACGTCTTTCAAATACCTCCAGGGATGGCAACTCAACCACTTCCCTGGGCAGCCTGTTCCAATGTTTGATAACCCTTTCAGTGAAGAAATTGTTCCTAATATCCAATCTAAACCTCCCCTGGAGCAACTTGAAGCTATTTCCTCTCGTCCTATCACAAGCCAGAGGAATCAAATGTCCTCATCAATTATGTATAAGCTCTGAGGAGAAAGGCCACAATCTGTCCGGACACAGTCACATAAGCATCTTCTTCCTATATAAAGACATCTATGTGAAAAACATCCTTTTTGTGATAGGCGATGGACCTTCCAGGTCAGGGAGAAATTTCTAGCACGCAGGCCATAAGAAGGATTTCATTCCAAGTGTGTGATTGTATGATATAATCGTACTGTTAGACTCAGAAGTTCAGATGACATAACAAACATAAAGCAAAGCAAGCAAAGGACAAAGAAATGGATCCAAGAAACACATCCCCATGGTGACTGTATGGACCCAAACCCTCAAATTCTCTGACTTTAAAAATGAGTCTGATAATCACATCTTATTAAAAGATGACAATACATAAGGACAAGGAAACCATCTTGAAAACTGAGACTTGTTTTAAGCCCATACTTGGAAAATTAGAGAGAGAAATGTCCAGATTGTAGGGTAAAGATAAAATATGACTCTAAATCTTTAAACCATTAGCATTTTTTTAGGATAGCTATTTTTACTCTTCTCTGTTCAGGGCTCATATATGACTCCTCACTCACTAGCAAAAGTGGTGGTAAGACAGATTCACAACAAGGAATATATCACTAGTAGACATTTGCTGTAAGCTGCTAAATTGCGCTAAGCAACTATATGAGCTGTTGCAATTATGCCAATACTGTGTAGTAAAACCCAGAAAATTTCGAGCTAATATTACATTAAATGAACTCCAAATATTTTAAGCTGCGGGAATGCATAACAATAACAACCCCAACACTCTTTAATTGTCCCTGTCATGATATCTAGGGGATGCAGGACAAGAAATAAATGTCATGAAAATCTCTTAAATACATATCACTTTTAACATCTCATTTTTTTTCAACTTAAAAAGTGATATTCAAAACTAATAAAAATAAACCCCATACCCAGTCATACTGAGTTTTAAAAACGTTTGATTACTTTGATTCATACTGACACAAACTTTTTTTTTTATTTCAGATTTTTGGTAATTAAGTCTAAATCTTCTAAATATTATTTCTAACATCATAACTACTCACTCCAACATAACAAAAGTTCTAAGCCTGTGTAACATCAGATTTTGATTATAACTTTCCCGCTTAGGGGTTGTCTTTGCTGCTACAATGGGATATTAATCCAGCACAAAGCAAATAAATAATAGATTTTGTTTTCTTTTATAAACTTCACTTGGGAAAACTAAACCAAACCACTGTTTCATGTAACTTTGCATTGGTCATAGCTTTTTGTCTCAGGATATTTCTGCCATTAACAATGCCAGAAAAAGGATCAGCTTAATTTCAAATTCATGCACTTTTGAACAAAGATTTTTCAAAGCAACTGGTGACATTTCAGCACTGTCTGATCCAGCACTGTTCAGCCTGAACTTAAATTCAGATCCAAATATAAAAAACATTATTTTTTTTCCGGCTGCAGTGTGAAAACAAAATACGCAAACAAGCAAGCAAACAAACAAAAAAATAGAATGCTGTTTACATGTTAGAAGAAACCACATACCTAAAACAGCTTGCTTCCCAGAATCTTTTGTTTTTTCTTTGCTGCGAGGCCGTAAATGGCACTTTGCATCTTTAATTTTAAAACGAGCTTTCTGCTTGATTGGAGGTGCTAATGAATCTGTTGATGTAAAGTAAAAAAGCTATCATTTGGCATGCAGATAAAATGACGTCTGGAACTTATTTTTAGAAACAGACTCAAAAGCCTTCTTGCGACACAGAAAAGAGACAGCCCAAGAGTTATACACCTTCCGCAAGAGGATCCATTTCTGTAAGTTCATTTTTTTTGTGTAAGCATTTACCCTTGAGTTCATAAATTTCAATGAATTTGCTAGTATTGCATGTGCTCTTCACATATGCTTCCCCTACAGCAGACCTGTTATCTTGGTGGAATTTGGGTGAATTTGTCTCACTATGAAAGCAGTAAGACTGACTCTCTGTCTGTGACTTCCCATATTACTTGGCTGTAGTTCTGCTGTTGCTAATGCCAACCGGGAGTAAGATTAATTTAGTGGAGCTACCCTGTTGGCAGTTCAAAACAATCCAAAGGAAACATCTTTATTTGACTGTGGTCTATGGCTTGCAAGCTTTATTCTTCAGCTTTAAATCCAAGCCAGTTATGTCTTGTGACTTTAAAGGCTGTTATACAGCCATGCACTGCTTAGAAAACATAGCTGCTGACTGACTTCCTCACAAAATCCATGGTGGAAAAGGTTTGGCCTGGCCTGTCACCTGCCAGCTGCTGTGGGCTGCCCATGGGACCCAGGGCAGGCGGAGGGTGGTCACAGGTAAGTGCTGCAACGTGGGTCCCTCTTTTCTTGGGAGGGCCTTGCCGAACCAGGACTATAGGGGTAGCCTGCCCCTGTGCCATGGCAGCCACATCTGCTGCCATGTTACCTCACTCCACAGCACTGTACCTCCTAACGCATTTCAAATGTAAAAAAAAATACGTGGTTAGAGAACTGGGAAATTGGTGAGAAGTACAGCAGGTAATGATACATAAAATGGGCTGACACTTCCCACTGCTGGATGCTGTTTCAGCTGCTTCTAATTTTGCCAGTCTTCCACCATTTTGAGCTGAACTTTTTTTTTATGCTGAGTATCAGCTTTAAGACATATTTTGAAATGTCTCTGCAAAAATAATCCAGCCATTTCTGAGAACAAGATGTATGAAACACAGTATGTGCTCATAAAAGTCTCATAACCTTTTTATTGGGAACCCCCAGTAGGAGGATTCCGTGCTCCTAAGGAATGACTTCGCAGGTGAGGGCTGGGACCCACCATAGTCTTCTGCTCTTGTGCCACTGATGGGCAACTCTGGCTCACTTCCAAGTCTGGGAAGAAATTTGCCTTACTGGACTATGGAAAGTACAGTATTCTAAATATTTGTCCTTATTGAATATATTTCAAACCTTCACCCCTCCTACACTGACCTACCAACACAATGCCACACCGGAAGGCAACTAAGCACACTCCAGCCCTCAAGGAGAGGCTGGAGAAAAGCAAGCGTATGCATGATGAAACACAGGCTACCTTAATCCTGGCCTTGTGTAACTTTAGAGCTATATGTCTTACAACTCCCAAATGGTCTGGGGGACCTCCATCCCCTACCTCCTAGACACCAAGGCCCGAGCGAGCAGGAGAGCACCTACCTGCGCAGCTGGGCAGGGTCACGTTGCGTTTCTGCTGAGCCTTGCCTTGCTGGACGGGAACGCCACAGCTCAGCGTGTAGCTGTTCTCCGAATCTACAGGGCAGAACGCAGAGTCAGCATATGTGGCAACAGCCTCAAAAAGCATCTGCTCCCCTTGTCACCCCCAGCATTAATGTTTGGTACTTGAACAAACTTATTAATACTGCTAAATAAGGAGACATTTTAAGTGCTGAACTTGAATTTTCAATGGCTGAAATAGTTTGCCAAGGTTTACTGTTTCACAGTGTTGACTACAAATTTTGTTCCTTCCAGCAGTGAAATGTTATGTTTTATAAACAATTTGGCATGAGGTTAGCTGTAAATAATCCCATGGTGCACAAGTAGCAAATATTTTCTGTTTGTCCATGGCAGAGCCCTTGTGCTTTGATCATCTCTATAATTTAAAAAATAAACCACATACTTTCATAATAATTTTAGCTTCAGACTCTGACAGAATTTATTGGCAGGAACAAAAATAACATACTTAGAACCATAATGGGGTTTACATATTGCACAGATAAAACTATGTATTGGTGCATACAAATTAGATAAATGCATGGTTCCAGTAATCTCTGCTAAACTGAAAATAAAGTGTGAACAGCTCTACCGCATATAATGCCAGGACTAACACGAAAAGTAGACACCCCTGTGGAAAACAATCCAGTGTCAGAACCAAAACATATATGAAAAAGCAATGCCCCCAACCCACCTGGCCTGCAAAACTGCCTAGGTGAAAATTACCTGTGGCAAATGATACCAAAAAGGGGGGGGGGAGAAGGGGGAGATAAAGTGCTTCAGTTACTGTAACACTGAGCTGAACTATGACCAGCAAAATTTATTAAAACCCAGCAACTAATACTGAGAAATCCTTTTTGCCACACAACCTCCTGAGACAGATTTAGTTGTATCCATTTTGTATGAGACTGTAAGTCAGGTTTAAAGCTGTTGCTTGGTCATCCTTTGCTCCACAGTGCCCCTGGCTGAGTTGATGGAAGTTTTATGGCTACACTGTCTGGCGTGGGAGCTCGATCATGTGCTGTGGCATCCACAGCATTAAATTTGCCAGCGTGTCCCACCTGTCCTCTCCTGCCCCTGCCTCAGCCTGTGCTTGCCAAGCTGAGCTCCTCTCAGGGGGACCCTCCGCTTTGGGATTTGTTTCTGCTCCTGCTCAATCACACAGTTACAGGGTATTTCAGGCCATGATGCAGAGTTCATCATTTTAAGCAGAGGCCTGGATGGGCACAGGGGACTCTAGTCAAGTTGAAAAACACGGTACTAAAAAATAGCAGAAATTCACTGAAATCAACTGTTCGTTTTTCTCTCACTTCTGACATAGCAATTCAATACATTAAAATTTTTCTTTTGCCCCATCCTGGTTAAGATAGATGTGTCTCTCAGGTTTTTGTTAGAATTTCCCCACTGCCACAAACGACACCTCAAATTAAACAACAAAGGGCCAAACCTCTAATGTAACTTAGTGACAGCTCTTCTTGTATTTGATGATGTGCATGTCTGGCCCAATTTAATTTAGAATAATGTTTTTGCTCATTTACAGTTGTCCATAACAAAAACTGAATGCAAGAATCATGAATACATTAGCAGAGAAAAATCATCACATCACATTCTAGACTCTGGAGGACAAATATACTTTGTACAAACCTGGAACAAAAAGAGTGTTGGATGGGCATGACAGGAAGCAACTCTCCATGCCTCCTGTCTTACTACATACTAGCTGAGCCTTGGGAGCTGGTTTGACATTCGGGAGACATTTCACCATCTCTGAGGAGAAAAAAAAAAAAAAAGAGAAATAAAAAAAAAAAAATCAGACACTGCCCAACCCAGACTCTTGTGCATCCACTTGCATACAGTGGTGAGGAAAGGTGGAAGTGGCAACAAGGCAAAAACACAGGCCCGGGCATTTCTGAAATAAGCACACATTAGGGAGACAGTATCTGGGATCTGGATCTTGAGCTTGGACTTAAAAATGAAACTCCTTCACATTTTTAAACCTAAACTGTTGATCAGCCTTGCCCTCCTATCCTCCACTTTGGGACCAAATCTGCACTCTGAAAGGCAGGTGTCTCTCTAATCATGAGCACAATTCTGTGTGCACGTCTTTATCTCATAAGCAACAAGTAATACCAATGACCTGAGATGTCCTCTCCCCACTTTTGGAGGCACAGCTCTCTGGTTTACCAGGCTAACCACCACACTGTGCACAGGAGTCACCCTCACAAAGATCTGTTTATTTAGATGACTGCTAAAATGGTATTTTCCACTTCTCACTCCAACTCTTGCTGACTTTTTAATTTCAGCTCCACGCTCAAGCTTCTGGAAGTTGAAAACCTTCCAGACAGGCAGAGGTGAGGCAGGACATGCCGGGACGGAGATGGATAGTCCCACCGGTCCTTTCAGCTGCCAATGAAATGCCCTGAGCTACGCTAGAAGGGACACTGTGACACACACAGAGACATCAGCCATTTCTCATCAGTGCCCGTGACACGAAGCACATTGTGGCTTGTGGAATGGAAATATCCAGATTCTCCACTTGGCTTCATGGCAGGATGAAGACAGAGTATCCTGCAGGTCTCACAAGCTGCTCTTCATATTTGGGTAAGGGATGGTTTGTGTTTTCGCTGAAACTACATAAAGCTGTTAAGAATTTTTGGACCAGTCTCTGTGCTTCACCCGGAGATGATGGTATGCCACTGATAATTATAATCCTGCATTTATTTTGACATCTTTTGGGACCAAAGTGTTACTTAACTACATCTTCCTCCACACAAATGATGAGGTTCATTCTCAGCTGCAGCCAGCAGGTGCCATCACTACCTGCACTGAGGCAGCCTCAGGATACCCTCCTTTCCCCCAGAGATTTAACTTCTGCACTGCCTGCTGGCCAAGTGCAGCGGGGCACCTCTTCAAGCAGATATTTCATGCTGCATCAGTTGGTTAAATCTCAGCCAGGTGTCTGGAGAGCAGTTCTTGCTTCAGCCCTGTAAAAACCGTGTTCAGGTATATATGCTGTTTCTCTGACTGTTCCTTGCTCTTTCTTCCAAACATGCTCACCTTACAAGATGGACTTGTCCAACTCTTGTTTTGCTCACGGCTGACTGTGCTACTGCAAATGTCATGTTTCTCAGCTCACCACTGAACCACACCAAGGTTGCGGGGCGATCAGAGCTGCAGCATCTGAGTCCAGTAGGAAACAGCCAGACTGGTTTGGGAAGACCCCAGCAAAACTGGGGTGAAACAGGGCAATTCAAATGTCGTAGCTTGGCTTGAGTGCAGAGCAAGGGTTCCATGAGCTACCAGCCGGTTTGTGTTCCTGGCCTCACTGCTGGTTAAATATAAATATATGCAAGTCCCTTAAACACACCTGATGTTCACATCTCAAATATGGGAATAATCATCCTCCACTTACCTCCTTCCTAAGGCCTTTTATGTTGCTTTGGTGATGTTTTTAAAGAAATTATTTCTTTGGACTGAGGAGACAACACAAGCGCAAAGTGTCATTGTTGAGCAAAAGAGAATTTTGTTACTGCAAATGTCTCCAAATCATGTGGCATTCAGGATCATTAGATAGCATTCTCCTCCTTTTTATTATGCTTTTATAACAACGTAGAATGCGGTTTCCTCTAAACAATGTTGGTAATAAAGGCAGGTGATCAGCAAGGAGATGACACTCATTTTAAGCCTCATTAAATTGATCAAATAAAAGTGAATATCATTATAGAAAGGTGTTCTGCTTTCCGTCTTCCAACTGGGTATTACAAATAATGAAGAGAAATTTACAACTAGGAAAATATTTTCAATACAGCCTCTTACCATTGGAACACCATTCTCAGTAGGTTGAGAGGGAATACAGCACAAAACTTCTGTGGTCTAACTATAAACCAGACCTCAAAAAATTTTAACCCCTGCTGTTAATTTACAAACTCGTTTCCAGAGGACTAACTGGTACATTGCAAGGGAGACCTAGCGTACCACTAAAAAAAAGAATTAACCATTTCTTACTCCTAGAGTACTCAGTTCTCTAGGTAGCAGTGAAGCTAATAGACATAAAGGTCAGAAGGAAAAATGAGGTACTTAATTGTAGGTAGGAAGAAAGTCGGTGACAAAGTCTGAAACCCAACCTGAGGTACTCACCCCCCACCCCGCCCCACCTTGGTTATAAGGTGCTTTCTGTACTGCTCTATCCATGTAAGTGAAAAAATACCACAATTGCATGATCATGCAAGAGGTCAGTGCAGTACTCTTTACTTCAGACTATAGTGCTTTCCCTCAACACGTACAGAACTTCCCTGAAGTAAGGTCCCCTCCTTTGTTGTTCTCTCTTGCTCCCCACTAGGTATTAGGCATCAGCCCCAAACATATTAATGAGAAGTTAGTCATGGTTAAAAAAAAAACCCAAACACACAAACACAAACCCCTCAACCTAAATTTGACTATGAAAGACCTAAGGTATGCCATTCCCATTAAAAACATGAAAAAAGGATTAAAATCTCACAGAAAATAATTTGAGTGGCTGTAGCCACGGCCAAGATTTCCTGTGCTTCAAATGAGACCCCAGGAAAAAAACAGTAATCCGCATAAAGGATCTGCCACAAAGTAAGTGGCACTAGCAGCAAGTGCCATAATAGTGGTCCCAGGGTTTGTGCTTGTTGTAATTAATACTTCTGATACAGCTAGTGTCAGTACTTTATATTAAGTAGGATACTTTTGAAGATAACTTGAAAAATTGGGGTATGGTGTTGTGAATGTAGATATTAACCTGAATACCTAGATTAGCCTTAGAGGGAAACAGAGTTATAGCTGAGGTCATAGAGAAGGACAAAGGACAAATAAAGCACAAAACTATAGAATATATAAAATAATAGTAATACTACTTAGATTTGTGTGAATGGAATAGTAAAATAAAACCAAAATTCAACACAAACAAAATTCAACATATTTCCCATTCTCTAATCCACCTTCTGTTATGTCCTAGCCCATGGACCCCCATAGGGTCAGGTGTTATCTGAGTTTATAAAATGAATTTGGGGATCTGGATTGTGAAAACGCAGCATCCTTCAGACAAAAACAGGCTTTTCCACCCTCCTGGGAACAGAAGCATCACCACAGTCACCTCTGAGTCAGTCTCCCACACTTACCAACGCAGTCCTTTTTATTCCAGTGCAGTTTCTTTCCAGGTGGACAGATGCACTCATAGCTTCCCATTGTATTAAGACACCCATAGTCACAGCTACCATTGCTGATGCTGCATTCATCAATATCTGAAATGTAATTAAAGTTGAGAAGAGTATTAACCATAGATACACATGCATACTGTGCATTAAGATACTATGTGCATAAGGGTATCTGTTTCTACTATATCTTTTATATTTAAGTCTATATAAACACGTATACATGCAGACAATACTCACATCAAACATTTTTAGTGCATATTTCATGTATTTGTCCTTAGACACATGTATAGCTCCTACTCTCTCAAGAATTTATGTACACATTACAATTTACTTGCCAGGACTGGTTAGACTTAAATCCTTGGAAGTACTCAAAAGTTACAAAATGTGCTCGAAAGCCTCTGTAGCATCTGGACAATAATGTATACTGCATTATATGGAAAAATGTCAAAGGCATAAACATCTGTGAGATTAGATCACTTTTGCATAAAAGGGAGATAAATTCTCCATAGCAATCTACAGAGTTTGCTTTTAGAAATCATTCAGATGAAGGAGGAAACTATATATTTGATAGGAAGTTGAAATATAGTTTATTTAGTCTTCTCCTCAAATAAAAATGAAAGGTAAAAGCTTGCAAGAAGGCAAAGAAATTACCAGATATGTTAGCACTGATATTCCACATAAAATCTTTTAACTTTAGATAAATTAGGTAAGTATTTGGTCAATATGAGGTATCACTTTTTTAGTCTATGCAATCAGCATTTATACATTTGTGCTGACACAGCCAATCTCTCATCTCCTCTCCTCCCACCAACAGAAAGTATGTTTATCCATCACGCTCCACAGGAGTTGTGCTGCCACGTACTCACCTCTGGATCACTCTTGGGCACATTTGGGACACTAAATGGCACAGGACAAAATTGATTGTCATATGGCACTAGTGAACCATCAGTTCCACATCGCTGCTCCAGACTCTTTAATTTACTAGTATAGCCATAACCTAAAAGCCCTTGTTATGAACCACAGCCCCGTTATTTTAGGCACTGCACCAACCTCAACAACAAATGGTTTCTGCCCTTTGAACGCAGCTACCCGTCTGCTCGCTAAACGGTAGCATTACTGTAATAGGCTTTTACAAGGCATGCAGGTTGTGCCATTTGACATATGTTCAAATGAGCTAGAATGACACCAAATCAACATAAGATATACTGAATTGCTAATACTCTGGCTTAATGATAGGCCTCAAAATGTAACCACAGAAAGAAACTGTCACTTAATGTGTTTCTAAGGAAGATCTGGCCATAAAGGCTCACAGGCTGAGCGTCTAACTGCCTTTCCAAACCATGCCTGAGAGCAGGCTTCAGCTCCGACCGCTGTGTGCTTGGCACTGTGTGAATCCATACGGTTTGCAGGAACAGTCTGGGTTCAAGCCAGCTCTCCCCAGGCCCCAGTTTTGGAGCCCAGTGACCCCGTCTGAAGGCAGCGGGTGAGGTACAGGTAGGAGGTGGGACTGATGAGGGATCAGGCTCAAGCACACACTTAGGCCTTGCACTGGTTAACAAATACGTATTTGTTATACATATACCATACATATTAGCCAAGTTTTCCTCTAGCATCCTGGAGCACTTGATGAAAACATGGGAGTATTTACCAGGGCAGATGCTAGAATCCAGAAAAGGCTTTCTTTTTCTGATGCAACATTTTAGCCTGTGTGGTTAGCAAAAATCTAGAAAGCACGGAGTACATGCATAGAAGAAACTGAGAAAGGCACCCTAATACAACAGGCATGTTTCTAGACAATGGTATGATTTTTGGGTCAGAGTCAGGACTTCTGGAGGTCCTGGGTCAGCAGTTACAAAAAGTGACAAGGGAGACAGCCCCAGAAGAAACCTTTTCTGGGAAATTTTGTACGAAGTTGTGAACCCCTACACATTTAATCCACAGTGCTCCTCCCAGTGATCTCTGGCCGAACCGTTCAAGCCCAAGCTCTTGCTGTCAAGTACTTCAGCCCAGAACCAAGCTCCTGAACAAGCAGCCAAATTCCCAAAGGCATTGAAGACTCCTGCAGATTCTACTGATTTTCCTAAGCCAATATACATTGCAAGTAGGGCTTTACATAAACAAGTGGTGTAAGCGCTAGCACTGTCCTTCTAAAAGATTCCCTTATGACACGACTTCTGTTACAAAAGATGCCATCAAAAGGATCCCAGAGAGAGCAACAAGGGTTGCCCCTCAGCATGGAAGATCCAGAAGGACATTGCCACATGGTTTATTAATTACTAGTAGAGGGGAAGCAAGAGAGAGAGAAAGCTTACTAAGAGGCAAGCCTGCACCAAATCTTTTTGAATGTTCTCATTATTTCTCCCTAGTTTTGACTTCTGCTCAGTGCCACATGGGATGTCATAGGGTAAGTTATTTGTTCCACTGTAAATATCACTCTCCAGGGGCTGACTAAAAGTAATGATAGGCCTGAGCGGCAAAGTTCAGCGCCTGGGCAAGTCTGAATTCAGAGCTGTCATTTTCAATCTGCCCATTAGAGAAAAAAGCAGGAGGTTTGGATCTGGTTATGTTTTTGCCCAAAGTTCAGCACTGAGTATTTCTAGTTAGAGTTTTAATCCTAATTCACCCTTATTTAAAAGACTGAAGCTGAACTGAGGCTGAAGATTATTTAAAGACTGAGCCCCAAACTTTGACACTTTCCCTAAATTAATACTGTACATTAAATCATTAAGGAATTAACACTGAAACTGAAGATCAGTCTCTCCACACCCCACACAGCATAGGTCCTCAAAACTTTCAGACTCTGATTTTGCTTTCAGAACTTCCCTCAAGTGGAGTCTTTTTCCAAACTCTTTCCTTAGGTGGACTCCTATTTCTCCTTCTGCTTGTCTCTACTATACAGTGAATTCATTTGTTACTTACCCTGCTCTATACAGGATATAGTAACATACACCTCCTACACCTTTCTCCCAAAGAGAAGCCAGGCAGAGAGATCAATAGCAGTGTATCACAATAACCCTACAAAATCAGGTGAACTTGGCACTTGGATAGAAGAGAGGGGCTAGCATCTGTTTCTGCTACATCAGTTTGCACGGCACAAATTGAATCCCATGGAACGGAAACAACATGAGCTGTATCTTTTTGGCTCAGTCTGTAGCATAATTTACTGATAAATACATAGAAGACAACTCTTTCATATAATATGTACCGCAATATCCACTCCACAAATGAAGAGCTGTTAGGGCCCAACACACTTCTCAGCAATTCCTCTAGTGTGCTTTCCCTGGGCTAAGTCTGACTCAGATCAGAACCTGGCCTGAATACATGGCTTTTCTGGATTTAAAGTCAGGGCTCTGTTTATAGTATGATGCAAGCTTTACTTAGATTGTATATTGAATAATTTGAATAATTAAATAATTAACTATTAACAATATTTTAACTAAACAAAACCATTTAGGTTTACATTTAAAAATAGCATGGATTGTTCCTTTTGTGTCAGTATTTTCTAACAAGTAATTTAGATTCAGGGCTTTCAGGTCTTATTATAATTTTCTCTTTTCACTTTTGTTTGTGTAATGCTGACCTGATTGGTGAAAAGCATAATTCGAACTTAATACACTTAACAAATCCCTCAAAAAACCCCTTTGCTCTCGTTTGACCATTATTCTGAACATGATCAAAACCTAGCCTACTTATTAAACATTCAGGCAGGAGACCACAGCGATACCTGGGGGTGTTAGCCAGGCCAGTGGCAGGCAGTCTTGTACTGTGATACCCCTGGCAAACACTGGATTCCAATTGAATGCTCTAAAATTCTCGTGTCTTGATCAAGTAGAAGTTGAACCACTAATTTGGTCTCTGTGGTAATACTGAAGTATGACGCACTTAAAAATATCCCTCTCCTCGATAAGCAAACGTTACAGCACCAATTCTTTCCAGTTATGCCAAAAAGGTTGAAGAGCTGAAGCAGCTCCACGGAAGATGAGAAGAAGGTATCCCACTGCCTTCCGTTATGAGTTTCACAGGCAATTTATGTCACAGTCTGGTGAGGATAAATACTAAAAGAGTCAAAATTTGTAAACTTTGCAAAACTGACATCCTTCTATTCTCTTTGTTGCCCATCATTTGAAGCATTCATTCTGTAAATACAATTGCGACTAACCTCACTCCTGTGGAAGTTCCAATTGGTACTCTGCGCTTGTAAACTCTGTAAGGAAGCTTACCCTGTACAGCATGATGAACCCCAGCCATGAGGCTGCTCTGCGGTGGCTGTGGAAGAATGGCTGCACCCATGCAGCAGTGGATGCAAGAGCCATAGCCGCAGGCTTCTCATCTATACTGAGGCTGACTATATGGCACCATCAAAAAATGCAAGGACATTGTTTCTTATTTACGTTCTTCTCCTGGGGATGCTTCAGCAAATTTGAGATGCTGAAATTTTAGTCCCACCTAGCTCATGCTATTTTAGCTTTATTTTAACTATTGGTTTATCATCTTCAGTTCTAAAATCTTCAGCTAAAAGAATGTGTGGCTCAGTAAACAGTTCACAAAGCAAATAAACAGATAAGCAAAATTCAGTTTCCAAACCTCCACAGTGTGTCAGTCCATACAAGGTGTAGCCTTTATGGCAGAGACATTCAAAGCTTCCAGGGTAGTTGATGCAGGTGTGATCACAGGTCCTTTCGAAGGAACACTCATCTATATCTGAATTAATAGAAAAAGCATTAAGAAATTAGGATTCAGTTACACTGAGCGGGTAGAATTTCACATTCAGTTGCAACATCTTGTTACTGATAAAGTATCACGTATCATCCTGGGTAAAATCTGTATAAAGTATCATCCTCATTCCTCTAGTGGTCTATAAATAAAGAACTTGCACGTACATGGAGAAAGGTAAGAAAAGATAATTTAAGGAAAAACATGAAGACTGTATTATATACGTTCACCGTTAGATGGCAACCTTTAACTTCTTATCATATTTACCCAGCAGGGCTGTGGGGAAATTAAGGTTTGGGGGGGG